TTTACAATGTAAAGAGAATTTCGAAGTTTAGGGAATATTCCTAAACTTCGAAATTCTCTTTACATTGTAAAATTCACTTGAACCTAAAAGTGCACTCGAGGAAAAAGTCACGCGTTAGTTCGATTTCTTTCATCTGTTATCCAGCTCGTCAAGCGAAGAATGTGCTTCGTGTGCTTGCCCGGCACTTCGATCATTATGAATAAACCACAGGTGCGGTCGAACAATTTTTGTTTCGGACTTTACCATCAAATACAATTTTTTAAAGGTTACGTCATGTCTAAAATTTAGTTCGACTTTGCGTGTTCCGGATAATCGTCTTTTAAGACACACACCATCACGTCTTATCGTAAACGCTAAAAGCTCTTTTACATGTTACGGAATGAAATATTGGCGGAAGTGTGCTTGCATAATGTTGAGGCTTCAGTTTCAGGGCTAGGTCGGCTAGGATAAACAGTTCAGATATTTTAGTGTAATATTATATCTCTACATTAATCTGCTTAGTAAGTAAAATCGGTTTCCGATAATGTTGATTAATTATTGCTGAATTGAAAATGATTATCATCTTATATAATTCATCATCTTATATATTTCTCGTCATATATAATTTAATTATATTATAATCATATTCCATAATTAAATTTAATATGAATATAATTATTGTTGCAGTCTGATAATTATTAACTTTTTCGAAATAATTATAATATTTTGAAAAAGAATTTCTTTAAAAATTAGACTTTTATTTTAACACTTAAATTGAAGCTTATGATTTCAGTTGTAATTGTCATCTAAGTGCAAATAAGTAGTTTATATCTTACTTTTATACATCTTATACATTTCTTTGAGACTATTGTCACTCGTACATCTAGAGATATGTTTATATAAGTTAGCTAAATTTAAATTAAATGGAAAAATTTTTGAATAAATTAAACAAAAATTATTTTATAAATTATCTCAAAAAAATTAATAATCATTGGAATGTAACAGTTAATATTTATTCGTTAAATTTAATTAAGGTTTAGAAATATATATATAACATTTTCTGAACAACTCTCGAGAAAAAAATATTCTGTAGGATTGATTATATCTACTTGCTGGACCTCGTATTTCTCTAGGGAGGGAGCAGGTAAACTTCTTCTCGTAACCGAAAATAGCATGAAGAGGTTTTTCCGGTTTTTCTCCCTTCTTAGACCGTCCCTGAAAGGCGCCGTCCTGGTGCCACGTTGTTTGGCGACGTGCGTTAGACCTAAGAGATGAAGGGTGTGCGTCATCACCCAGTTTCAGACATTTGAGCGTGGCAAATCCATCGTCGTCGTCGGCGTCGACATCCTCATCGGTCGACTGCTTTCTTTTGCGCGCGTGCGTGAATTTTTCTCGGTTGATTTAAGGGTTCTTCTGAGGGTCAGCAACCCAAAGTTTCAGAGGGTGTCGTGAGTGATCACACGTATGTATCCTGTTTTTTGCACGTCTTTTTTCTTGTGCTATTCTTCGTGAATTTTTTTTGCTACAGGGCATATCGAGCATAGTGCGAAATCGAGATAAAGTTATTTGCAATGTAGATGTACATTACACACAGGAAGTATAAAGTAATGTTATCAGCTAAGAATAAATAAACCATAAGCGTAAGATAAATAAAAAGTATTAAAAAAAGATATTTCTTGCACGCGTTCAAGTTCTCTTCATGATTTATATAACTTTAAAACTTTTTATATAAATTTAGAGTTAAATGTTTGGATAGATTTTAACTAAAAATTTTAGTTAAATGTTCTATACAATCATTTAACAATTAAAAACTAGATAATTTTGAAAAGAAAAAATAATTTTCTATGTAAAAATTAATTTATTATTTTGAATGTGGAACGTTATTTTTTAAAATTATGTTGACAAACGAGGATCAGAAGGATCAAAAGCTGGTTGTTGGTTGCTTGTTTTTCTGTTTATGAACAAACGTTTCGGTCAATACATCTGACTCTCTTCAGTGTGAACGATATTTACAATATGTATGATTGCTTATGCTCCAACTTATGAAAACATGATATTGGATATTATATTAATTACGTCTTTTATAGTCAATCTACATAAAAATCCTTTGAGAATGTGGAACGAGATCGCATCTGGATGTTTTCCACGTGTTTTAATCGAATTGTTGTGCGCGACTGTTATTTTTTAACATTAGCTCTTATTAAGTAGCAATATTAATTAGCGATGTTATAAGCTCATAATTAATGTAATTTATAAAATATATAAAAAAACAGAATATCCGAAATAGCTTTTGTCAATGATATATAATGTTTTCAAAAACTCGAATTTGTAGAGCTATTTTATATCAGTCTTTCTCTGTTGATCCTCGTGCCGGTTTGCGTAGTTTTTATCATCAGTTTTCGAGGAGTAAATAAATTTATTTACTTATTGTTTTAAATCGAAATTATTAACATATTAAAAAATGGTTCGAAAATAGTTCAAATTGTAGTTTTTCCCTACTGATGTCCGCGAAAATTTCTTCTAATTTTTATTCGTCCTAATGAGGGTAAGAAGGTTGAGCGTCACTGCCTTTTAGGCGATTCCAAGTGTCATAAAAAATTCATTACTTTGATTTTCAATTTTCAATGTTAATATTATTCTCATATGTCGACACATGATGAACTCACAAGATCGATAATGTTGACCCCGGAACTGATGATTCAAGGATCAAAGCAATCAACCCTTGTGTGCACAGCATTCCGTTTACTCTAGTCACGTGAATAGATATATTACTGTAAAATCCTTGTGATCTTCAACCAGAGTGTGACGCTCCATCTACGTTTAATCAATTTCACAGTTATCAAAATCGTCATTACACATGTTTATACAATAATGGAATAACGAGAAAATGGTATTGGTATTTCTCTCGAGCATCTCGCGTTAAATTAAAACGCGGAAGTGTGATACCGTCACACCATATGAAGATTACAGTATATACGAACTCGCCGCACAAGTCGAATAACGTGTCTCTTTCAATTGTCCAATTGCTCGCTGATATTTGTAAATAATTTCGAAGGCAAAGTTATTTCGAGGATTCGCTATTACAACCGGAATTAGTTGCAACCGCGATAATTCTACAATTGAAGTCTCGAATAACGAATATAATTCTCTTACTATTCAAAAACCGTATGATTCTTAAGCTTCTTACTTCACTTTCAGTATCGCATTCGCATAATTTGCTTCAATGCTAAAATAATCGGAAGCACGTGTAAGATTGCGCTATGAAAAGATATAAGATTACGCTTAGCTTACAAAATATGCACGCACATATCAAATTGTTATTTCTTGTATACATTTGGAGGGAAGATTAATACGCAGTTCACAAATTTTGCGATAAAAGAATAATTATAAAAAAATTACGAGTGGCTGCATTTCTGAAGCAAGATATTCTATCTTTAATATGCATTACACGTTGTGCACTCTATATTGCAACACGGAGCGACGCAGATAGTATTATCTTGATTAAACATGAGGTTTCTTGCCTATAGCTTATGCAGCATGCTGATAATCTGTTCAGTAAATGCAATAACACGACGTACGATGTTGACCAATATCCTTTAGATGTGCCAGTATTTTACATACATATGTTCTTGATATTCGATTTTGGTCTTTCACGTGCGAGAAGGCGAAGAGAGTTAGAAATAGATTCTTTCAAGTGTTTTCAGTCTATTGGCTAGGGCTTCATTTTTCTCTCATATAGAACTATGCCTACGTAAAGTGGAACGCAAGCGATATTAACGATATATCAAAGCCGTTTCCTCGTTAAAAATGAAGAGTTACATCCATATAAAATTCATATATAAAATTTATTATTATTCATTTATCACTCATCAAATTAATGTCAATGAGCCCATTAGATGTCCATTAGACACTCGACTATGGTACTATTCAGATGAAAAGCTATTAACTTGAATAAGTCATTTTTGTATAAGTCATCATTTTGAATAAGTCATAAGTCTAAAGTCATTTTTGATACATGAATCATTAGTGTCTTCTTTCATTACAATCTTTATTAGCGTTTTTTTTTATAAATTTATATTTTTTTAACAGATAATAAGAATAACCGAGCATGAAACTTCTTTATAATATTATGAATTGCACAGCTATGTTTTCGATGCATTCATAAAGAAATGTACGGAATTCTCCAACGCGCGCGCGTCTGAAAACTTGCTTAGTACTTACAACCGAATAACGAATTCATCACGTGCTAACCAACCGTCGCTATTCGTTCGTGAACTTCTCATGCCCTTGACGTATGGCTGAAAAATATATAGCACAAGTTGCCTCGCGAAATTACAAGCATGGAGCACGTCACGTCTTGTCACAATACACGCTGCGTGTTGGCATATCAAGATGCTGTATAAAAATAGTTCAAAAATAATATCGTTGTAATAATAATTAATATGTGATACACTTTAATCATTCTCGTCAATTTGAAAATATTATATGGCATTTGGAGCAATTTTATCCGCTATCAAAGTGTATATTTTAAAGATAAGATTATTATAAGAATATTTAGAGTTTCCAGACGCTGAAAATTCTTTACATTTCTTTATCGATTTTTCTAAAATATAGCTGTACACGTTATAATAATAATAACAATTTATATATATATAATTAATATGACATACTTTAATCATTGTTGTTAATTTTAGAGTACTTTAGAGTTTATATGCACTTAAAGCAAGTTTATTCGCTACCGAAATGCTATTAAAATATTTTAGAGATAAGATAATAAAGACGTGACAGGACAAACCGTATAAAAATGACGTTACTAAATTGTTGCAATAAATCCTTTATCCTGACAATTAACATATTGTAGTCAAATGAATAATAAATATGATACGATAGTATATCAACTGGGGTGATATGCGTAAATTATTCGAATTATATTTCTCAGTTTAAAAGTGATAATGTTATCCGGTTGCGGTTTTTAGATATGAGATAATAGTATTTCAATTTACACATAAGCTTTGCAAATGTTTGTTAATTGTTTCGTTATTTAAAAGCTAGTATAGAACTGTCTAAAAAATTATTTTGACCAATTTATTTCTGTTTCTTTTGTAAAGTTGTCAAGAATCATTTTCGCTCTTTGATATCTTTTTTTGCCGGAGAAAAATGCTATCCAAGTGACAAAAAAGATATGTATTATATATGAAGATATCGTGGACTAACAAGCAAAAAGCAAGTCATCCTTTTATTGTTTAAAAAGCTGTATATATCATTACGCATAAACATAGCATGATTATCTTAAGAGATGTATTTTGATTTGAAAGTACCTGAAAAGTCAAATATAATTTAGAAAAAATTTAAAAATCATTTAAACACAAAATACATTTAAACACAAAATACATTCAAACACAAAGATAAAAAAACACTCGGTCGATCATCCGTCACTGGCGATAAATTATGGCTGTGATTGATTTAAAAATAAATTTATGATATGCTGTTATTGTAAGAGTCCAGTATACACACACACACGCGCGCGCGCGCTCACCACACACACATACAATATACATAATAGGTAGATTAGAAGAGCTAACAAGAAATTCTTAACTTTAGTTGCCGCCTGTTCGCGCTCAAAACTAGTTCTCTCATACGTCTATGAGTGTGTGAATGTTGATTTGTTAAAAAGAAACTTTTATTGGTTTTCTTGTCAAGTTATTTTTACAGCTTACGAATATTGTAACAACACCTGTGGTTTGTGAGTAAAATTGCTTTTACAATTGAATTTGATTATACAATTAATATTTTTATTGTATTAAGCCCGCGCTTTAAACGATTTATAATGCACGACGGAATTCAAAATAGAAATCTATTTATTAATTTTATGTAATAGAAAACATTCGAGGAATCATCGTATTTGAATCATATAAGAATCATATCGGTAGAAAACATCAGAAAAAAAAATGTTTCCAATGTTAAATCGGATTTAAGGATTCCAATTTAACATTGAAATCCTTAAATCCACATAGAATTACAAATAGAATTCTGGCTCCGAATTTGATCGCAATTGAGAAAGTCCGAAGCGGACTTTCAGTAAAGAATTTAGAAATACTTTTATTGTACATCTCTTATGCCCGATTCCACCAACGAAGATTAACTTTAATCTCGGTTCAATTTACTCTTCACCTTTTTCTAATTTTTAGAACTAGAAAAAGATGAAGAGTAAGTTGAACCGAGATTAAAGTTAATCTACATTGGTGGAAATGGGCATTAATCTTTATCTTTATTATACATTAACATCTTTTATGCTGTAATATTTAAACACATTTAAACATTTCGATTAGGATAATTCAGTGAAATATTAGATTACATGAGGGTGATGTTATGTTTTGTTGTTTTACTCTTTGCAGATGAAATGATTCAATGTGGATTGTAAATAATTCTTTCGTGTTTTTTTCCGATTTATCGTCGTCACAGTCTCGCTCTAGTAACATGATACTCTGCGATATACAATTGTACAATGCACTTAAATGTTTTATATCTCTATCTGCAGGTATGTAGATAAACAGAGATTAAAAGATATATCTTACAGTTGACTTTTCGTACATACCATGCAATTGTTGCACACTACCTGTTATTATTCTGATCAATACTGCTGATAAGTAGTAGTGATATCTGTAAATACATAGTATTTCGCAAGAAAAATGGAAAAAAAATGAAAGAATAGAATCATTGTCAGGATTTATTGACAGTGATGTGTGCATCGTGCCATAGTACGCGGCTAGTTGGTCTCCATTGATTTGTGTGAGAAACTTTTCACAATCGGCATTACTTAATCGTTTTTAACTTACTTTACTCGACTTTCGAGCGGACGAAATTATCGTTGTTTGTAAAACTTTCATAACACGTTTTCCTTAGACACGCGTGACAAGTTGAGACACGCGAGATTTTCTTGCGCTGACGTGCATTGCAATTTCTGAAATAATTTTCTGCAACGCGTGATATTCTTTATCATTTCACAAGTATGAATCATAAATAAATGAGTTGTGATAACGCATTTGCAAACTCGTTTACAATTGAGATTTTATAAAACTTTGAAAAAATATAATTTTGTAAAATTTTAAATTATAAAAGTTTTTTAAATTTTTAGCTTTATAAAATTTTATAAAATTTATTATTTTATACTAAAATTTGCATTTATAATATTTACATTTATAAATATATTTTATAAAATTAATACGAATTACGATGAAATAGACAACAAATTTGCTGCCACAGCAAATCTTACACTGTCGTAGCAAATATGTTAGTTATTATATAACAAAGAGATTTGTTACGCGTACTAATTTCACTTGCAAAAAATAATTTTGTTAAATCAAAACTGATGTTGCTGTTATAACAAATTGATTTTTATTCACAGCAATAATTTTGCTGAAACGAATAAAATGCCCTCATTAGAAATAAATTATCTTGTCGTAGTAGCAAATTATGTGTCTTTACAAATAAATGTATTTAGTGAAATTTATCTATTTCTCTTGACAAAACAGATTTTGCTGAAATATCGAGTAATCTGAAAACGACGATTTCGTTGCAATAGCAAATTTCTTTTTTTTTCGCGCAAAGATCTACGTGCAGTAATGTACAAATTCAGCCAATTAAATTTTAATTGCATTTCTTTTTTCAGCCAGAATCCGATGTGTATGATGAAAGGGGCTTATTAGTATGCTGGATAAGCGACGGCTTCATGCCTCCGGTACATCGCCATGCACCCTCATCTTTGTGGTCGTTTTGGCACTAACTGGATGCTTCTCGTTTTGGATACACATCGATGGTTCAGGATCGCCGATCCCCTACTCCAGCGGCGGTGTGGCCGCGCCAGGATATATCCTTATATATCCCGGGAACGTCACGTCCTCCGCGCAGCCCTATTCGATAAACGAACTTCCGTCCGATGATAAATCTACGCTAATCAACATCACGGACTTCAGGTTCACCATGAATCACAATCCTTGCAACCGTACGCAACCGTTGTTGTTGATGTTGGTTCACTCGGCGCCCGGGAATTTCCCGAAGAGGCATGTTGTGCGGGAGACCTGGGGTCAACAAGCGCCGGACGTGACTTTATTGTTTCTCGTGGGATATTCGGAAGAGTATCAATCTAGGCTCGAGGAGGAAAACAAGAAATATCAAGACTTAATACAGGGAAACTTTCTTGATGCCTACAGAAACATGACCTATAAGCACGTTATGGGATTAAAGTGGGCTACTTATTATTGTCCAAGTAAGAATTTTCACGCTTCAATTATAATTATAGCTCATTTATTCGATTTGAATTACATTGTTTATAATATAAACATATATTATCAGACATACAAATATATATATTTTGTACGTATAAAAATGTACATTTTAACATTTTAGACCATGCATTTAAACCAATCATAAAAATGAATAAAATATACATTTTATTAATTTTTATGCCTTAGAATCTTCTATCATATCATTTGGTAGACTAGAACTTTACTGTGATACATTGAAGTCTTATATTTTATAAGAAAGAAATGGTCTAAAATGCTAAAATTTTTAGATAGATTTTCATCCTTTATTTTTTCTAATCACGTATAATAAATTATTTATCCTTACATTACGAATAATACATGTTCTTATCTTTTTTCAGGTGCCAAATATATACTCAAATTAGATGATGACGTTTTTGTTCATTTACCGGCCATGCTGGATTTTCTGACGCATGGCCTCTCGCCGTGGGGTGCAAGACGTCTGATTCTCTGTGATCTTCTGTCGGCTTCCGCAGTGAAGAGATCCTGGCGTTCGAAATGGCGGGTCTCTCCTCTGGAGTATCCCGGTAGACTTTATCCCGCGTATTGTGCCGGATGGGCGATCCTGTACTCCCCCGATAGTGTATTTATATTATATCGTGAGGCTCAGAAGGAGCCGTATTTCTGGATCGATGATGTACACATCACCGGGACACTGGCTAGGAAAGTAAATTTAACACAAACCTCATTACACTCTTGGGTGCTCACAACCGAGAGCATGCGGGACTTATTGTCGAACCCAAGTGCTCGACGAGATTTCCTGTTCGGACCTCCGGATCTAACGGAGAGCGGGATACGCGCCTTACATAGTCTGGTTACTAAACCACGGCCTAGCAGCGAAAGCCTATTGAATTAAACGTCTAATAGAACAATTTCGTTATACTGAGTCACGGAAGGGAGGAAAGGAAAGGAGATACAAATAGCGAGTATTCTCGTACTTTCCGCATAATCCTAAAATACTACATCGCATCAGTATGTCTGTACGATAGTTCAACGTAAGTGTTCGATTATTTGCACAATGTACAAACGCCATGTTATGTATAATGCATACGTAATAAATGCGTTAAATATATGTGCATATGTGTATGTAGATATATAAATAAATTCATATACATATACACATGCAGACGCAGTAAACACATATGCATGTGTAACAATATTATTTGCGATTGTTTTACGTAAGACTTAAATATTTGTTCTTAAGTAGCACTCAAATAAGTTCTATTTCTGACATTCAATTTCATTTTCTAAATCTTTTTCATCGATTATTCTAATCAGGGCTTGTATAATTGTTGAGAATAGTAACATGCTCAGTCTGCTTAGATTTTCAATTTTACGAATGTTTTAATTATTAAAAATAATTTGCAATACAATTGCAGTTGATACCTGATTTTTTGATATATAGATTAGTCTTTCAGCCGTCTGGCTTTTACACACGCTTATGCACGCACATACATTTTTGGATTTCTGCGATTGAACGTGGAAATCGAAAGGGATATTTTATTGTAATAAATTAATTTTGAGACATTTATATGTAAACAATATATTTCGCAATATATTCTTTGGTTGTGTAGGCACAAATAATAATTAACTAATTTAATAGACTGTTTATAAGCCCTGGTTAACAAATTAAATTAAATCAATTGTAAAATCCGAGTATTAACTCATTATTATAGAAGGACAAAACGGCAGCTATTTTTTTATTTATACTTACAAAAAATGCCAACAATGTGAAAGGATAGTGTAATATTTAAATGACGGATGAAGGATGACGGATAGTATTAATATTTAAAAGCTGCAAGAATTCTACGGAAAACTTACGTATCTCGTGATCGTGAAACATCCTCTTGCAGTAACAAAAGCTTGCGGGAAGCGAAGAAATGACGGACTTTATTGTAAATTTACCAATCGGCGATAAGCAATGGAACTTCGTCATGGAGCAACATTTAATGTACTTAAATGTAATGTAATAACAAACAAATTAAAGATATGACATTGTTACGCAAGGACATTGAGGAGTCGAACTAAATATTGTTACGTAGCAACAAGTACAACCCCAAAACAAGGGTCCACTCGCAATTAGGTACAGAGATCGCAGATATTTGTCCGTTTTTGAATGTCTATAAATTTTTTATGTGAATCTGTTGAATCACCACGATTATATTTAGTATTGCGAAGGTACGTGTGCCTGTAAACTGTAACGTGAAACTCAAGCATGAAACTTGAGCTAGCTTTTTAGTTACCGTGATTTCTTTAGAGTCGATGGTCGATGTGATAATTTCCATATTACTTCTCAATATCGTACCGTTTCTTTTCATCTTAAAATACAACGAATGTGTATGTCTACGGAATAAAATACGCAGAATTCCACTCGCTAACGCAACACTAAATGCGAAGCCCAAAACTTTCTTGTTGTGACGCAACAGAAAGGAACAGAAAGCTCCGGCTTTCTGCCATCACCATTTAAGTATTCCAAAACTGGACAGCGTATTCGTATTATTATAGCACAAAGAAATTGATGGCTATTAGTTACTGAATAATCTCACGTATTATGTCTCATGTGTTCTCAGTTTTTATTTATGTATCGAGTTTTTCTTTACATAGTACTGTATTATGTATCATTTCTAAAAGGAGGAATTACAATCTCTTATTGCGATAATGTATAAAGTACGATCGCATAGCATAATACAACAATTTTTGTGATGGAGTAAATACTTATAATTTCAATAAATAATGGATTATTTAAATTACACAATGTATTTTTCATTTTTATTCGCATTGGCTTTATGTTACTTTTTATTAATTAAATATTATGTAGTTGTAAATTATATCAAATATATGATTTAATAAATGAAACGTACAAGAATGAGCTCACGAGGCAAAAAAGTAGTGTTTGTACTTGAGTAAGTATAATAACTTTACCTCTTCGGGAAGGGCGACAAAGAGAGTAAAAGTAGTCGATACGTACAATCGGATATATACTTTATTGGTCCAGCTGTTTAACTACGTAGAACTATTTATAAAATCTTACAAAATGCTCAACGTGTTGCAATAGGGAAACGTTACTTAAGTATATTTACAAAGCAACGGAGTTACGCGATTTCTAAGAGTCGATTGACAACAAGCTGTTATACATTAATATGATTATCGCAGGTTTTTCGAACATCTCGATTACGATTTCATGATATTTCAGATTTAAGATATTTTTGTCGCAAATGCAACGTGATTGTACGAATATCTCCAAGCTCGGATTTTGATCTAACTAGAAAGACTTTACTGCAAATATTTAATTAAACAATTCGTACATAAAGTTTTAAAAAATGTTAAATGCCATGCAATATTGTGAGGCACTTTTTGTGTATATATCTATTTTGTAGATATGCACGATCAATTTTTAAAAATTATTGTGAAGATTATAACTTGTGATATAACTATCGGTATTTGTATCGATAAATAAAGTGGGATTATCAGATTTCGATTTCTATATACATTTGTTTGATTACTGCACGATGTAGTATTAATAAAAATAATGTAAAGTACAGAAGCGCTTTGTATAAAACTTTTATACCAGCAAATGTTATAAAGGACTTAAAAATAATCGCAAATAGTTTTAAATTTGTAAATTTATTACTGTCAGAATTAGTAACGTCTTTAAATTACATAATAATAATTTCGATCAAGCATGATTCTCTTAAATGTTAACCAGCTAGCCATCCTTTAATTTTTTATCGATTCCATTACACAAAAGTATTTACACATGTAAAAATATGAAAAGTTTCTTAATTATTTCTGTTTCAATTTTCTGCTTTCATGAAATTCAGTAACATTGACAAACATTAATGTATACTTTATAATTATACAATAGGAAAAAACCAGTAATAAAATATTAAAAAATAAAATAGGCACAAAGAACGATAATTTTCATAATTCGTAATTCCTAGTAAAAAAAATGATGATTTTCTTTTTTTGCTATGGGGGATGTTTTGGGATATTATTATAATCTTCCTGTTTAAAGATACGGACTATGTAGTATGGTATCCTATGATTCCAGCTGTTGACATGTATTTGGTCAGTTCAAAATACTGTAATTATAAAGGTAAATTATGATAAGAGTAAATTTCTACAAAAAAAAGAATAATGTATTAAATTAAAGCGTTGTATATAAAAAAAGTTTAAATAGATATGTATATGTGTAAATATACTTGCATCATCTTTTTCAAAAATGACTATAAATTTAATATTCCTATTATGTAACAATTTTTAGGAAAAAATTACAGAAATGTTCTATAGATTTTTGCTAAATATAAAAATGCTATGGCAAATTTGACAAAAATGATTTTACTAAACATTTAAGAGAAGAAGCGGTAAAATGGGCATATATTGTCGATCTGTGTAAATTCCGTACTGTACAAGACAAGTGAGTTGTTTTACAATCACGATATTTGTACAAACAAATTTTGTGGCATTATTGCCCTATGCTGGATAAATTATTTTAATATTAAATAACCAAATATTGTAGTTAAATATTTGTATAAATTATTTTGTTACAATGCAGACTTTTAAATGGAGAGAATGGATATACTATAAAGGTTTAATGACAGCAAACTACAGTGCTTGGTCCAAAGTACTGGTATGGCATAAATGGCATAAAGTATATGATAATGCACTTTTAGAATATTTAACTTGCTCTGCAGATCCTCGCACTATCTAAATTAATAATGATACATGGATTTTATTCTAGAGTAACAAACAATAAAACTAATATTAATATTGTTTTTCTTATTGTTGCAAGATATGCAAAAAATGATGTAGTGCTCGATTATATATTCAACAGTTTTAAATTCTTTAAATTCAGTTAGTATAGAATTCAGTGTAATAGAAGAAAAATTTATATTTATTTATATCGTCTATTATATCTTCAAATAATCTATTTCAGATAACTGAATTCGTGGAAAGTAAATTTGTAAGTCTCAGTGAAAAGTCGACTAGTTGATGCAGTTAAACAAAAAATAAAAAACAAAAATTGGAATACGGAAGATGAGTTACAAATCACGGGCGCATCGGTAATATACGGTAATATGAAAAAGAAATATGCAAATAACTCAATCCATGGAAGAATAAAATTTTACTTATTGCTTATATATTAATAATTACCATTTATATATTAATAATTTTTGTAATCCTCTTCTCATTATATTAAATATTACTTTCTAATTTTTAATCGTTCCATGTTTGTTTCAACTATTTTTAATATTTTATTTATCTAATATAAAACATTAATTAATATTTATATATATAAATATAAGTATTTTATTTATTTCTCTAATAAATTGTAAATTTTTGTTATGTTTGTTATTCCTTTTTATACATTGAAATTTTATATTTTATTTTTTTTTTTAACATTATAACATCTTTTATAATAAAGCTTAATAATTTATTTTTTGACGAGCAACTCTCTTCATTTATTCGTAGCAATGTATAAAAGTTTATGTTAATAAATTTATAATTTAATACAAATCGATTATGTCCGAAAAAATATTAAATGTGTTGCATCTTGACATATATATATAATTCTAAACATGATTTACCTTAAAAACACAATTTTCTACACATTTCTTGCAACAATAGTTAAAAACAACATACAAATTTACTTTCTATATTTTATGCACAAATTTATCCGATTGGATATCAACAGTTAATAGCTTCTCCATTACGTTAGTAGAGTTTCCTGCTGCGTAACCTCTTAGAAACACTATTTACATTATATGATGTATTTATCATGTTAGCTTCCAATATTTTTCTTAGTATTCGATGATTCCTCGAAACAGTAAGATAGCAATTAAATTTATATACCTCTGGCATTCGCAATTCAAGACGGTGTTAACTGTACTATTGTTACAAATTGTTATTTGTTATAATGTACTGTAATTTGAAACATAATTTTAAACTATAGAGGTGAGTTACCATAAGTGAAATATTTCTCATTAAAAATATATAAATTTCTAAAACACAATAGATATAGCTTTATATTCTTCAAAACATATTCTTTAGAGCTGATAAACATATTTTACGATTCTTTTAAATTTTTTCTTCTTCGATTTATACTACATGAGGTGAGATAAACGTATTATAAACAATTATCTATTATTTGTTTTAATGTAAAATTTTTTAATAAAATTTATGTCAAACGTTAAAATCAATTATTTGAAAAATTATAAATTATAAGGGTTACAATAATTCAAAATCAAATTAAAAAATAAAGGAGCGAAAAGAGCTACAATAGTTACTACATATCGTAGTAATATATTCTAAGTGTCCGCTAACTCGAAAAAAAAACGAGATGGAAGAGTCCGAAAGAAATGTATAAACTGCAGTTTATACATTTCTTTTCTTTTGCATTGGCGGACACTTAGAGATGGAATCTATAACTGCGAAATGTCAACTACGTGATTATGTAATTTATTCGTGCAACCCAAATTATTGTAAGAGTTATATTATAATTTGAATGATCGCGTGCGTTACATTTGTTATTTTGACACTGAAGAAATATGATGACAGGTCGAAACGCTGTTTTGTATGATTTATAATTTCAATACACACCGTTTTCGCACAAAAAATTGCATTGGTTCTTTTAGCTTCTTCACTTTTCATTTCAATTATTTTAATTTTTGCAAAATTTGTTGAAGACATCGATTGTGTTTCTTGAAACTTAGTGTATATATGATTACAATAAATAGTTACTTAATTATCTCTAACACATTATAAGAATGTAATTTTCGTAAAAAATAGAAATTAGTTTCTCTTACTTTTTGTATTTTTAGTATTTTATAAATTTCATATATACTTAATATTTTTACATATTTGAGAAAAATTTTTGAACAAAAATTATGTTGCTGATAAGATTCTCTATAACCTCTCGTATCTAAAAATTCATTTTTTTTTTTATTAGGATTAGAAATAATTCTTTTTCTGTTTCAGCCCTTTTTCATAAAAATTCTACACCGCTTTAGTACGATTAACTGTAAATAATTTTATATAATTTTTACTTTTCTTATATAAAAGTTCAATAGAATGTGTTGCAAATTATGTATTTTTTTCTAATCAAAAAATTCTTTCTGCAGATGCTTCAAATAAAAATTAGTATGGCATTCCGACATATTTTATTAAATGTCAAATTAATATTAATCGTGATAATTATGTCTACTGCAAAATTTACGAAAAATGACACTAAACTGAATTACAATGTTTTGCATGGTACTTATTTAAAACCATTGCATTATGATGTCGAAATAAAATTTGACAGAAATATCTTTTCTGCGAAATGCAATATTACCATCCAGACTAATCGTCCAACGAGAAATATAACTATGATGAATTCAAAGATTTTCGGAGTAGCAAGATTTGACTTGATTAACAACAATAGTAATCAAATAATCAACTTCTTGAAATTTTCATTTATCAATAAAACGTACCTTCAGCTTGATTTTAACCAGTCATCAATAGATTTATTATATTCTGGTACATATATCATAAAAATGACATATGTCAGTAACATAGATGACGGAGACTTTTTCGAATCTTTCCACATGAAAGAAAAATATGAAATGTAAGTTAATATAATCAAATTTTTTATCAAATTGTGATAATAATTTTATATTAATCACAGATTTAAAATAAAATAGATTAAATAAAGTAATAAGAGCAGGAGAACTATTTCCATATTTTGACGAGCCGGTATTTAAATCAACCTTTAATATTTCCATCAAGCACCATAAAAGCTATACATTTTTGTCAAGTATACCGATACAAAAACAAGTTGAAGATATGGATAACATGATGTGGACTCAATTTGACACATCACCTTCAATGCCTGCTAAATATTTAACAATTGTGATGACAACATACAATTATAGCTTAATTTATTTAACTTCTACTACAATTTTCAAATTTTGGTCTAGAAAAGAGATAACAGAACAAGTGCGATATGCAATCACTATTACCCAAGGAGTCGTACGCTATTTGGCACAAAAGAATACAAGAAAAATATCAAAAATAGATTACATTGTAACTAACGACTTTCAAGACAGTAACATAAAGACACCGGGATTCATTCTATTAAGGTAATACTCATTAATATAAACAAAAATTAAAATCAAAATTAAAATTAAATAAATATATTTATCTATAATATTGTAAAACAAAAAAAATATTTTAATGTTAATATGATAATTAAAAAATTACTAAAATATATCTTGCATCACTCTTTCTGATAAAATTCTTATGTTTATTCTTGTTTTTATTTTAAACAAAAAATTTTAATAATTATTTTTACTTCAAATCGGACTTTAATTTAGATTTCATTATTCAAAGCATGAAAGATAATTGCGATTTACGTTTTACGTACAAGTAATATGTTACAAAAGCTTATTTTTTTCCACCAATAATAATGAGACAAAATCAACAAAACATTTCGCACGTAATGCTGATGCAGAAATGCTCAAAATAGTTTTTCCCCATTTATCTTAAATAAATTCTGTGTAAATGTCTAAGTAAATAGTTATTGCTATGTTTTTTTATTCAGAATATAATGTATATTGTTTGCTAAAAATATATAAAAACACAAGGTTGTTTAAATATAACATTCTTTTTCTTGTCAAATTCATATTTAACTTTATTACTGATTTATCTTAAAATTTAAGTTTAACAAAATTTAATTAATGTTTATTTGTGTCTGCGTGATAAATTGTATCTACTATAACGTCAACACCAAATTTATTAAATTGCAAAATTATAATATAAAAATTTTAATTTTAATAAAATTTTAAATTTTTAATACTTGAAAACAATTTGTAGGGAAGAAGATATTAGGTATAATAATACATTACATCCCGTTCGCAAAATAGAAGTGGCAAACTTAATAGCACGTGAAACGATTTCTTATTGGCATAATGATGTGTTTTTGTGGTCAAAAGAAGGATTTATTACGTTTCTTGCAGCACATATTTTGGATCAGGTTTTTATATATTTTTACTATTAGTATGCTGCAGTTTTTGATTTTATAATATAAACGACCAAATGTAAATAGCAACTGTCAAACTAAATACATGTTGCCAAAATTCAAATACTCGACTACATATTTCCTCGATCATATCACGCTTTACAGACTCGGTCATATTATCGCATGGTGGATTTATTTGTCGTTCAAACACAACAGGAATATTTACGTTTCCAAACTCTTCCTATAAATTCTCTGCTATTTAGATCAATTTTTCAATATATCAAATGTAAGTTTAAGTAAATGTAACTAAAACATTACTTATAGTTAAAGAAAATATAATTTAAAAACATTAATAATTGAACGTAAATTTTTAAATTTTGTAGTACAGTTTAAGAAAACTTAACTACAAATCCATTAAAATACAACTTATTTATATATAAAACTAATCATAAGTAGATTAAGAGTAAAAATTAATACTATTTTAAAATACTAATTACTGTAATATGATTAGTAATTAATACTATATTAAAAATAAAAATAAATATCTAGTAATCAATAGTAATTAATACTACATTAAAAGTAAAGAAAAACTACTTAACAAGTACTTTATAATATGAATTGTCACAGCATCCATTATATGGCGCATATTATATCATATATTATCTGATACTGTGTTTTGGACAAGTATCAACACGTATATAGACATACAGTGAGTAATATCTTTTTATATCTTTTAATAGTGATAATAATGACGTATAAAATGAGAACAGTAGAACAGATGACATGCTTCAAATTCTACTATTGAAAAACATAGAAATTAATCATTTTAAATTTAAATCACTATTCTTTTAGTTACTCTTTATGTAAAGAATTTTAAATAACATGGTGGAAAGATTATTAATAATATATAATATGATATATTAATTATTAATAATAATTAATAAATATTATTTATATTATTAATAATAAATAATGTAATTTTTCAATTGATAATAAAAATTTTTGCAATATTAATTTTTCAGGTATAATCAGATAAACGCGACAGATACTAATAACTCATCTACTATCGTATCATTTTGGGACGTTGTGGAAAGTGCTCTAGGTATAACGAATAGTACACGTAACTTTAATATACAAAATGTAGTCAATATTTGGTTAACGAAAAGACATTGTCCTATACTGTACGTGACACGAAATTATTCTACTAACTTAGTATCAATCTCATATATTAATTCTAATAATACACTATTTTCTGACATAAAACAATATGAAATATATGTGGTATATACGACGAAATCACTCATGAACATCGAGACACATCACTTTTGGCTATCTACACTAACACCATACCATTATATATCACACGAGATTGACAATGATGATTGGATCATTCTCAATTTAGAACAAGTTGGTAAATATTAAACAGTAGTTTTATTATTCTGCTGACTTTAATTTCTATACTGGATGTTTCATTATTCTATGTTTAATCATTAGAAATATGTCATATATTTAATATATTAATATATGTAGCCACAATTATGCACTACTCGCAACAATTAAAAGATAAAAAAAAATTGCAAAAGAAAAGCAAATCTTTATTTTAATTTTTTGTTAAAAAAATTGGGCTATAAAAACAACAAACGGCATTCAAAAGTGTAACTTTGAGCTTTTAAACGGTTTTCTGTGGAGTTCTGTATAATAATATTTTCACGGTTAAAAGCGATCAAGACAATGTAACGAATCTTTATTTAGTTTTCGAATATTCGGTCAAAATATTGCACAGCAATCAGCAAACATTCAAATTAAAAAAAAAAATTTTGCTACAAATTTCAAAATGCTTTATTCTGAATTAAAATACAATGATTTATTACGGAATTATAATGCTTTAAAAATTGCTTTTTATAAATAAATTTTTCGATCGTTTAATTGTTGCGCGTAGTGTACTTAACATTTCGGCCAATGTTGATGTAAAATTTACATTTTTAGCATTAATTTATTATTAATTTTTTACACATTTTAATAACAAATTAATTTTTTGAGAAAATATATAAAAGAAAATAATAAAATTTACAAGAATTTTTTAATAAATTTGATGAAGAAGCTGTAATAATAAAAGTATTTTTGTGTCATAGGGGACTATCGAGTCAATTATCATTCCGATTACTGGCAAAAACTTGCCCATTGTTTGTATTATGAAAATTATACCAATATTCATGTTCTCAATCGAGCTCAAATCATCGATGACACGGTTTATTTTTTGACGCATAGACATCAACTCAATTTCACCATGTTTTGGGATATTACAAGTTTTCTACTTAAAGACACAGACTATGTAGCATGGTATCCCATGATTAAAGCTGTTGAATACATGACGTGCATCTGGCCGGTTCAAAATACTGCATCTATAAAGGTAAATTATAATGAAAGTAAATTTCTATAAAAAACAATAAGGTATAATATTAAAGCACTCTATATAAAAGAAGTTAAATAAATATGTATATGTGTAAATATACTTACATTAACTCTTTCAAAAATAACAATAAATTTCATATTTTTATTATTTAACCATTTTTAGTGGCCACTTAAAGAAAAGTTCTATAAACTTTTACACGAAATAGGATACGATGACAAATATGACGAAAGTGATTTTACTAAATATTTAAGAGAAGAAGCGGTAAAATGGGCATGTGTTCTCGATGTTTATAAATGTAGACAAACAGCGGCATTTCAATTAGAAAAACATCTTGAAAGTTCTGCAGAAGATAAGTAAGTTGTTTTATAGCCACGATATTTGTAGCACTATTGCTCTATGCTAATTAAATTATCTTAATATTAAAATATAAAATATTGTAGAGTTAGATATTTGTGTAGAATATTTCTTTTTTCGTGAATATGCAGACTTTTCAAGAAAGAATGGATATACTGTAAAGGTTTAATGACATCAAACTTACTTACTTGGAACAAAGTGTGGAATAAATGGAAGGCAACATCTGATAATACATTTTTAGAATACTTAACATGTTCTACAGATCTTTTCATAATTCAAAATTATTTAGAATTAATAATAACAGATAGAGTGTTTAATAATGCAACAAACAGTAAGAGAAATGCTAATCTTTTTCTTCTTATTGTTGCAAAACATGCAAAAAATAGTATAGTGCTCGATTATATATTCTCCAATTTTGAATTCTTAGAATTTAGTTTAAAAAAGTAATTACATTTTTATTTAAATATATTTTAATATTTATAAATATTTATTACATTTATTAAATATATTACTTTGTTTTTGTAGGCAAATGGACCAGATTGCCATCTTAATTGTAATTATAACGCACGAGCATAACGAAAACCAATTCAGAAAGGTGTATTTTCCTATATGCATATAACATTCTCATTACTTGACTCTTTTATATTGAACTTATTTATATTTGTCATATACGTGACATGTCTGATCGCAGGAATTTATGATTTCTTTATCTGTAGTGAGAGAAAAACATATATTTATTAATGTCGTCTGTTGTATCATCAAATAATCTGTTTTAGATAACTGCATTCATTATAAATAATGACAACCTAGTGCATAAAAACCTAGTTAATGTTATTAAACAAAAAATAAGAAAACGAATATTCGAATACGGAAAACGAGTCACAAACTACGGAAGCACCGGAAGTACGAGAAAATAGTATGCATACAACTCAATCCATGGAAGAAAATCATTTTATTTCTTGTTCACGTACATTCATAGATATATTAATCATTTTTGTAATCCTCTTTTTATTATTGTATTAAATATTACTTTTTAATTTTAAATTGTTCCATTTTGTTCCAATTATTTTTAGTGTTTTATTTATTTAATTTTTGACTAACTAATACTTGTATACATATACAGGGTGTTCCGCACAAGGTTAATCACCTCTCGGGTGCAGGTAAAGCAAGTTCAACCGAGTAGAAAAGTTTTCTTCCGTTTTGCGATTTTTGCAATAATTAATAAGAAATTAATTAAAGAAGATCGGCCAATTCGCGCGAGTCTAAGCGCGCGGCGAGAAGAGACAGCCCACTGTTACGTGGTCGCTAGGACGCAAAGATCTAGCGTTACGCACTGCTCGTAAGTTGCCGTTGTCAATTGTAGAGCGCTCCTCCCAACTTTATTAACCGCTTCATCGCGTGTCTAGTAACCAAATAACAGTGGATTGTACCGCCATGGGTCTCTTCTCGCTGCGCACTTAAACTCGCGCAAATTGGCCGATATTTTTTAATTAATTCCCCATTAATTATTGCGAAAATCGCAAAATGGTAGAGAACTTTTCTACTCGGTTTAACTCGCTCTATCTACACACAAGAGGTGATTCAGCAATTATCGGACACCCTGTATATACATAAAAATTATTTACTTTAAAAGTATAATTTTCCACACATTTCCTGTAATAGTTGAAAACAACGTACAAATTTAATTTCTATATTTAATGCATAAATTTATCCGATTAGATATTAACAGTCAATAACTTCTCCATTATGTTATTAGAGTTTCCTACTGCGTAACCTCTTAGAAACACTATATACATTACATTATGTATTTATCATGTTAGCTTCCAATATTTTTCTTAGTGTTCAATGATTCTTCGAAACAGTAAGATAGCAATAAAATTTATATACCTCTGGCATTCGCAATTCAAGACGGTGTTAACTGTACTATTGTTATAAATTGTTATTTGTTACAAGGTACTGTAATTTTAATAAACACAATTTTTATCTATAAAGGTGAGTTATCATAAGTGAAATATTTCTCATTAAAAACATATAACAAATTTCTAAAACACAACAAATACAGCTTTATATTCTTATTACATATTCTTTTGTGCTGATGAACATATTTAACGACTTTTTTAAGTTCTTTCTTTCTCAATTTATACTACGTGAGCTGAGATAAACGTAATAATTATCAATCGTCTGTTTCAATGTAAAAGTTTTTAATAACATTTATATCACACGTTAAAAACTAATTATTTTGATACTCACAAAATTTATTGAAACGATCGATTGCGTTTCAAGAAACCTAATGAAATAGTTGCAGTGAAAAGTTATTCAATTATCTGTAACATTGTAAGAACGCAATTTTCTGTAAAAATAAAAATTCGTTTCTCTTACTTATTGCCCGGGTAGCACATGTTTGTTTCATATATGTCCTCCCAACGAACATACATACATTGGATAGATTTCGGAAGCATATATATAACGAATAAGTGCTAACTTGCATTTTCAGCATTATATAAACTTTATATATATTTAATATTTTCAGCCTTATATTTAATAAAAAAGATTGGACAAATTATATTACACATAAAATTCCATATAATTTCTCGTAATTAAAATTTCGTTTCTTCTTGCGCTACTATCAGAAATAATTCTTTTTCTCTTTTTGCCCTTTTTCATAAAAATCCTACACCGCTTTAGTACGATTAACTGCAAAAGTTGTTATATAATCTTTATTTTTCGTATATTAAATTAAATAGAATGTGATGCAAATGTATGTGTTTATTTTTAATCAAAAAATTCTTCTTGCAGAGGCTTCAAATGGAAATTGGTATGGCAATCCGACATATTATACTAAATATCGGATTAATATTAATACTAACAATTATACTATCTACTGGAAAATTGACACAAAATAAGACTGAACCGAATTACAATGTTTTGAATGGCACTCGTTTAAAACCATTGCATTATGATGTCGAAATAAAATTTGATGGAAATATCTTTTGTGGGAAATGCAATATTATCATCCAAATTAATCGTCCAACAAAAAATATAACTGTGATACGTTCAAAGATTTTCATTATAGTGAAAATTGACTTAATTGACAACAATGATAATCAAACAATCAACATCCAGAAATTTTCATTTATTGATAAAACGTACATTTGTTTTGATTTTACCCAACCATCAGGCGATTTATTATCTCCTGGTACGTATATCTTAAAAATGATATATGTCAGTAGCATATTAGATGACAGAGACTTTTTTGAATCTTTCGACATAGTCAAAGAAAAAGACAAAATGTAAGTTAATATAATCAAATTTTTAATCAAATTGTGGTATTAATTTTATATTAATCATACATTTAAAATAAAATAGATTAAACAAAATAATAAGAGCAGGAGAACTATTTCCATATATTGACGAGCCGGCATTTAAATCAACCTTTAATATTTCCATCAAGCATCATAAAAAGAATACATTTTTATCAAATATGCCGATACAAAAAAAAGTTGAAGATATGCGTAACATGCTGTGGACTCAATTTGACACATCACCTTCAATGTCCGTTCAACATTTAACAATTGTGATAACCACATTCACTAATTTCTTCGCCTCTTATAGAAATGTTAAAATTTGGTATAGAAAAGAGATGATAGACCAGTTGCGATTTGCAGAAAACATTGTCCATGGAGTCGTGTACTATTTGGCACAAAAAAATTCAAGAAAAATATCAAAAATAGATTACGTTGTAACTAACGACTTTCAACACAGTAACATAAGGACACGAGGCTTTGTTCTGTTAAGGTAATACTCATTAATAACATCAAAAATTAATACCAAAAATAAAATTAAATAAATATATTTATGTAATATTGTAAAACTAAAAAATATTTTAATGTTAGTATAATTATTAAAAAATAACTAAAACATATCTTGCATCACTCTTTCTGGTAAAAGTCTTATGTTTATTTTTAATTTTATTTTATATAAAAAAATTTAAATAATTATTTTTATGTCAAATTAGATTTTAATTCAGATGTCATTGTTAGAAGCATGAAAGATAATTGCGATTTACGTTTTACGTACAAGTAAAAAATATGCTACAAAAGCTTATTTTTTGCGCCAATAATAATAAGACAAAATCAACAATATTCTTATTACTGAAAATGTTAAATATATTTTCGCACGTAATGCTGATGCAAAAATGCACAAAATATTTTTTTTTTCTTAAATAAATTCTATGTAAATATGTAAAATTAAAGACAAAATAGTTATTGTCATGTTGTTTCATTGAGAATATAGTTTATATTGTTTAGTAAAAATATATAAAAACAGAAGTTTGTTTATATGTAACATTCTTTTTCTTGTCAAATATAGATTTAACTTTATTACTAATTTATCACGAAATTTCAGTTTAACTAAATTTAATTAATGTTTATTTGTGTCTGCGTGATAAATTGTATCTACTACAACAGCGCTCGGAATTAGTTGCATATTTCGGGCCGATTTTCGAAACGACGCCTCTTGTTGTTCCACTAGCGCTCAGCCGCTGACGGCCGAGCCGACGATAGCTCAGACTCAGAAGCGTTTTATATAAGAAATAGGCTGGGTTGTTGAGGCATCTCTCAAGAAATCGTAACATTTTCTTCACCACATAAATAATGTTTATTTTCATTAATAATTAAATATATATATTATGCATTAATAAAAATAAACATTATTTATGTAGCGAAGAAAATGTTACGATTTCCTGAGAGATGCCTAAATAATCCAGCCTATTTCTAATATAAAACGCTCCTGAGCCAGAGCTATCGGCGACTCGGTCGTCAGCGGCCGAGCGGTAGTGGGGAAACTGGTGACATCCTCTCGGGAATCGGCCCGAAATGTGCAACTAATTCTGAGCGCTGTACTACAACGTCAATATCTAATTTATTAAATTGCATAATTATAATAAAAATTTCAAGTATATTTCTAATACTTGAGGACAATTTGCAGAGAAGAAGATATTATTTTTAATAATACCGTAGATGACATTGCCCGCAAAATAAAAGTGGCGAATTTAATAGCACGTGAAACGATATCTCAGTGGTACGATGATGTGTTTCTGTGGTCAAAAGAAGGATTTATTACGTTTCTTGCAGCGCATATTTTGGATCAGGTTTCTTATATCTTTACAATTAATATGCTACTATATTTTTAGACTTTATAACTTTATTAAAAGACCAAATAACAACTGTCAACAGCGTTAAATATAATATGCCAAAAAACTTAAATACACCCTCAACTATATATTTCTTCGTTCATGTCTCGCTTTACAGACTCGGTTATATTATCGCATGGTGGATTTATTTGTCGTTCAAACACAACAGGAATCTCTACGTTTCGATACACTTTTTATGCCAAATTTTCTGTCATTTAGAAAATACCGTTATTATATCAAAAGTATGTTTAAGTAAATATAACTAAAATATTATTTAGAATCAAAGAAAATGTAATTTTAAGATATTGATAATTATATGTAAATTCTTCAATTCGTATATAACAAAATATAAGAGAACTTAACTGCAAATCGATTAAAATACAACTTATTCATATATAAAACTTATTATATAGTATATTAAGAATAAAAATAATTACTATTTTGAAATACTTGTTTCTATTATGTCAATAGTAATTAGTACTATATTAAAAGTGAAAAAATACTTTAAACTTTTCAACAAATACTTTACAATTTCAATTGTTACAGCATGCATTATATGGCGCATGTTATATCATATACTATCTGATGATGTGTTTTGGACTAGTATCAACACACATATAAACATACAGTAAGTAATATCTCTTCATATCTTTTTATGATGATAATAATGACGTAAAAAATGTGAACAGTAAAACAGATGACATACTTCAAAGTCTGCTGTTCAAAAACATAGAAATTATTCGTTTTAAATTTATCGACTACTTGTAATTGCTTTTTATTTTAAGAATTTTAAACAACATATTGAGGAATTATTATTTATAGTAAATAATGTAATTTTGTAATTGATAATAAAGAATTTTGCAATGTTATTTTTCAGGCATAATCAGACAAATGCGACAGATACTGATAATTTATCTAACATTGTATCATTTTCTAACACTGTGGAAAGTGTTCTAGATGCAATGAATAGAACACGTAACTTTAATATAGAAAATGTAGTCAATATGTGGTCAAGGGAAGGATATCATCCTATACTGTACGTTACACGAAATTATTCTACAAACTTAGTATCAATCTCATATAATTATAAAGACACAATACGACGATATAAAATATATGTGAAATTGACAAGGAAATCACTGAATTTTGTGACACAACATTTTTGGCTATCTGCACTATCACCGCACTATTATATGTTGGACGAGCCTGACAATAATGATTTTATTGTAGTCAATTTACAACAAGTTGGTAAATATTAAGCAGTAACTTTATTCTACTATTTTGATTTTCTATAATTCATGTTTAATTATTCTATGTTTAAGATTAGAAATATGTTTTTTTTTGTACATTGGCAAATTTGTAATATTTGTAGATATTCCCACACAGCATGCATATCCGTTCAGAACAGATCTCGAAGATATCATATCTCTCAAAGATATCTTTGAGATGTCTTCTGGACGTCTTTTGGATATACGTGCTGTGTGGGTTGTTTGAGATATATTGATTATACATTTTGGTTATATATTAATATATATATTTTGATTATATGTTATTATTTTGATTATATATTAACCCTTAGTCCCGACGGTTCTTTTCGGCACCTTTAATCCCGACTCCCGGGTCGTTTGCGTCTTTGCGTTATTTGGATCAGTAAAAACGCTTTAAAAAATCTGAAAAAATTCATGGAGCTTCTTTTAACCTTCAACTTGAAGTCCCAATCATAATATTTCGATAAAAATTATTTTTTTAGGTAGGGGATATGGCGCGTTCCGTACCTGTTTTCAAAAATTACAGCACTTTGAAATTTCGCTTGGGTCGAAAACGACCCATGAGTCGGGACTAAGGGTTAATATATTATATGTAGTCACAATTATATTTAACGTTTCGGCCAATGTTGATTCTCCATAGCTTACATATTTGAAAATTAATTTATTATTAATTTAAAGTAACTTTGTAATTAAATATTTGTAATAGACATATTATGAACTAATTTTTAAAAGATTTTATTATAAATTAAATTATTTGAGGATATGTTTAGAACAAGAAAACAATTTGCTAGCACTTCTTGACAAATTTGACAAAGACACACTAATAATAAAATTATTATTTTTGTGCTATAGGCTACTATCGCGTCAATTATAATATGGATTACTGGCAGAAACTTGCGGATTATTTGTACTTTGTAAATTATACCGTGATTCATGTTCTGACTCGAGCCCAAATCATCGATGACGCGTTTTATTTTTTGACGCATGGACAACTCAATTTCACCATGTTTTGGAATATTACAAGTTTTCTACTTAAGGACACAGACTATGTAGCATGGTATCCTATGATTAAAGCTGTTGAATACATGACGTGTATCTGGTCTGTTCAAAATACTGCATCTATAAAGGTAAATTATAATAAAAGTAAATTTCTATAAAAAAGAATAATGTATAATATTAAAGCGCTGTATGTAAAAGGAGTTAAACAAATATGTGTAAGTATACTTACATCTTTTTTTTCAAAAATATCATAAATTTAATATTTCTATTATTTTACAATTTTTAGAACAATATTAAAGAAATGTTCGATAAACTTCTGCAAAAAATAGGATACGATGACAAATTTGATGAAAGTGATTTTACTAAATGTTTAAGAGAAGAAGCGGTAAAATGGGCATGTGTTCTCGATGTTTATAAATGTAGACAAACAGCGGCCTTTCAATTAGAAAAACATCTTGAAAGTTCTACAGAAGACAAGTAAGTTGTTTTATAGCCACGATATTTGTGGCACTATTGCCCTATGCTAATTAAATTATCTTAATATTAAATTAGAAAATATTGTAGTTAGATATTTGATTACATTTCTTTTTCCTTGATAATACAGACTTTTAAAATGGAAAGAATGGATATATTGTAAAGGTTTAATGGCAGCAAACATCATCACTTGGCGCAAAGTGTGGAATGTATGGAATGCAACATCCGATAATACAATTTTAGAATATTTAACTTGCTCTACAAACACTAATATTATTCAATTTTATTTGAGATTAATGAGGGAAAATAAATATGAAAATAAATTTTATATTAGCATATCAAAAAGTAGAACGAGTGCAATTTTCTCTCTTATTGTTGCAAAACATGCTAAAATTGATGCAGTGCTCAATATGATATTCGACTTATTCAAATTCAATATAAAAAAGTGATTACCTTCTTTTATTTGTAATTATATTTTAATATTTATAGATATTTGTTATATTTGCTATATATATTGCTTTGCTTTTGTAGGCTAATTGACCAAATAGCCATGATAATTGTTATTATAACGCACGAACATGACGTAAAAAAATTGAAAAAGGTATATTTTCCTATATGCATATAACATTCTCATTACTTGACTCTTTTATATTGAGCTTATTTATGTTTAATTCGTCACATACGTGATGTATCCAAATGCATTTAACGTAGCAATTTATCATTTTTTTATCTGTAGTGAGAGATAAACTTATATTTATTAATATCGTTCGTTTCATCATCAAATAATCTGTTTTAGGTAAGTGAATTCGTTCAAAATAATCTTGCAATGAGTGGAAAGAAATTAATTGATGCCGTTCAACAAAAAATACAGAAACGAAAGTTAGAATACAACAGACGATCAACAACCTATGGGCGCCTATAAGCGCCTACCGTATGAGAAACAAATAGGCAAACAACTGAATCCATGAAAGAGAATAATTTTACTTGTTGCTCACATGCATTCATATATTAATAATTTTTGTAATTTACTTTTTATTGTTCTATTAAATATTACTTCTCAATTTTAAATTGTTCCACTTTTGTTCCAATTATTTTTAATATTTTATTTATTATCTCTGGTATTGTAACTTTCTGTCATGTTTGTTATTTCTTTATTTGACCCTTTTTTCATACATTATAATTTTAGAATATTTTATTATTTTTAATTTTATAAAATCTTTTATAATAATGCTTAATAATTCATTTTTTTACGAGTAACTCTTTCCTTTTATTCGTAACAATATACAAAGTGTCCGGTAATTGCTGTATCACCTCTCGAGTGTAGGTAGAGCGGGTTAAACCGAGTAGAAGAGTCTTCTACCATTTTGCGATTTTCACAATAATTAATGAGGAATTAGTTCAAAAAATATTTGTCAATTCGCGCGAGTTTAAGCGCGGCGAGAAGAGACCCATGGCGGTACAGCCACCACTGTTATTTGATTACTAGGCGCGCGATGAAGCGTTGGCAGGAGCGCTCTACAAATGCCAATAGCTACATACGAGCGGTGCGTAACGTTAGATGGCCTAGAGAAAGCGTCGTACAAAAAACAATAGCACGGCCCCTCTCAGGCTTCTCTCTGGTGATATATACATTAGAGAAAAATAAAGAAACATTTTAAAAATCAAAGAGTAACAATAACATCATCAATATTATTATTATTTACATTTGTTATATTTAAGAAAAATAAATAAGCTAGAAATGCAACTAAAACGAACAACGTTCTGCTTATCGTGCACACCACCAGATTTAAAACGCAAGCGTCAAAACTTTATTTTTTTATTGATTTTTCAGAAAATAATAATTTTTTTAAATGAACGGATACCATATGGCATATCTTTTTACTAGACTAAAACACTTTACTTTTATTTTTTGTTAACAAAATTCAATTTAATTTTTAATCTAAATAAAACATAACGTTTTATAATTTTTTTAAAATTATGACACGTTGGTATAATATAAGATATATTATTAAACTTGTCTTCACAAAAAACTGTTATTATAATAATTAATAGAATAAATAATAACAAATAACGAAATAATAATTAATGGAATGAATAATAATGAATCATTTATATACAAATTTATAACTATAAAAAATTAATTTTTTGTAATTTTTTATCCTTTTATTACCTCAATTCAATTTTTAATGAAATATAAATCAACATTCACAAATAAATAAACATTCAAGCATCGAGTATCTATCTATCATAAAAGAAGAAATTTTGCGCAATTGAGTTACTTAAAAATTGGTAATAGAAAATGGAAAATACAAATTATATCTCAATAAATAAGAATTGTGTAACATAAATTTCGTATTGTACATCGATTAAATCGCGCATTTCGAAAGATTTATTTCATCGAAATTTATTGCACGGGCAGCCGTGTTCACGCAAAGCGACGTGTTTCGTGACATTTTCATTGCGTGGGCATTTATTAATTTAATTTTTATTCTTATATTTATTTATTTGTGTTATAATACGAAATAGAAAAACGCTTAAAAAGCTTTAAAACGCGGAATTTTAATCAAGTAAAATTAATTTTTATATTGGATCACGCTGACAAATCTACAGATAAAAATTTTAAACATACGATACGATACAAAATACGATAGTAGGCGAAAAATAAAATAGTAAATTATTTATCAAAATTAAAATTCTGAACGCCAAAGAATATCTTATAATGTGGAAAATATGGTATATTATATTAGGAATTTCGACGCTGATTTACGGCGAGTGGGGGGGGGGGTTGTTTACGTTCGCTCTGTGACCTACGTATTTTATATCCTCTCTTCCTCACTCTCACACTTTCTCTCTTGCACACACTGGTCGGCATGTATACATTCCTTTCCCTACTTCTTCCAAATAGTACTTTTCCCAATTTTGACCTTATCCTTGAGCTTGAGCTGGATTTATTATTCGCACGGCGGCACTTGAACGAGACAGACCGTTTCGCGTATCGGCGCGTTATCTCCCCTACCTTCAATTCTTATTACTCCTTACAATTTCCACCTTCCTCCCCCTCCCAATCGTTACCTGTTGCGTACGCTTTATCTTTTACACACACACACATTAAAATATATTTTTTTTTAATACATAAAAAATATTTCGTATTGTGTTAATTGCAGAGAAAACCAAACTTACACATAGCGTTTGGGGGTTGTTTTGGTCGCGGCGTACGCGCTGTTTACGCATTCCATACTTTCGCTATCTCTTTCTTTTCTATCATACATTATCCTGCTTCGAATTCCCTACGTATTACTTCTGCGCGTGTTATCTTCTAGGCCTGCGCAAAGTCCTTGAGGTATCCTGTGGTATTTTGCCCCTTACCAGTCGCACGGCGGCACTCGTACGGGTTGGTTGGTCCACATCATCCCTCCCTCTACCACTCTTACTACTTTCTACAGTTTTCCATCCTCTTCCCCCTTTTCCATCATTACCTGTTGCATACATATTGTTCGGCGCGAAGTGTCGAACGCGTATTCCGTGCGACAAGCGATATTCGAGTTATACCTTTGTTCTTATACGACAAAACCGCGTCGGGAGTGTGTAAAATACCGTGTAATCGTCGTAATAAATGCGCGTCGGGAGTGTCGTTAATGCCGAGAGTTATAGCAAATCTATAGATGAACGTCATTTTTGCTGTATGACAAATATTGGGACACGTATTTTTTTTGACTTTAGGCTTGGCTCGGGGGAGGGAAAGGTCGGTTCAATCATAAAATCTCCACTACGGCAGGGCAATCTTCGGTTCTACGTGCAGCGCGCTAGTTGTACAGATAGCCGGACTGTCGAAGGTAGTCGAGGACGGCTACCGGAGTTAGTCAAACGCTACCGATTGCTTTTCAGATGCCTTGTATCTAGTCGGTTGATTGGATGACTAATCACCTCATCTTCTTCGAGCTTATCTTTGCCTTCTGTTTTGAGAGAATCGTGCCCCAATTGGTAAATGTGGTCGTCTGAAACGCGGACGGAATTCGCGCGTAACGTCACAGCTTGGACAATTCGATTCGATTCGCCTGTGATGTCGGGAGTGCCGTTTTAAGTATCGCGCGATTTTCGTATTCAGGTACGCATGCGAGCAATGCATGCGCCGCGAACGCGTAAGATTCAATGTGAGTGCTTCGAAGGACCACTGAGAGGAGGAGGAGGCTCAGGAGGAGCATCGGGCGCCGGCGGAGCAACTTTACGGTAAGCAATAATACATTTATTTGTTAAAAATATTGTACATTAAAATATTTGAAAGACAAAATATTTACATTAGTTAATATTTATCATTATTAGAATTTATTCGCATTATTTTTTACTTTTATTTAAATAATTAAACTTTTTAATAATTCTTTTATTACATATTTGCTTAGAAAACGAATTAAAAGTTCAATATACTCAATATTTTTTATGATTTCACAAATATTTCATATTGTGAACGCTGCTATAATTTTGATTTATTTCGTGTTTTACAGATCAACTATGCAGATCAACAGAACAACAACTCCGCTGCTGCGCATCGATCGGTGAGTTAGTTTAATTTGTCTTTTATTATTAAGATAATGGATCAAATAATGGTGTAAAAATGTATAAACGCGAGACACTTTGCAGGTCGTATAATTTTTATTGCCTTATAGTAGTTATATCAAAATTTTATTCTCTCGTATTTTTTAAAAGTATTTTGAGTTGTACGTGCATTTGTTTTTAAAAGAACGAAGTACTTATTTTTTTAGTTAATTTATATTAAATTTAATTATGTGTTACCAATATTATTATATATATCTAGAAAAGATACATATTATACTAGATTATAATTATAAAAATTGTTAAAAAATATGTAACCTGCAAAATGCGTTGTACATTAAAAAAAGCAAAGTGTTTCTAATTTTGA